AGTCCGCTTGAGGACTTCAATCTCAGCCGCCTTGGCATCGAGTTCGGTGGTCATAGCGGCAACCTTGATCCACAAATCAGCAGCTTCCGCCGCTACCCCATGGCCAACCTCCAACTCTTCTTCCTTAGACTGGAGAAGAGTCTCCAGCTCAATGTTCCGAGCTAGGGCGGTCATCAGCTGCTTGTCGATCTGCTCCAACTCGTCCACCCTCCGTTTCAGCTGGTCCTCCGACTGCTCCAAACCCTCACGGAAAACCTGAAATTCCAGGTCCTGCTTGAGTAGGTCCGCCAGCGCCTGATGCCTGACGCGGCACCGCCGATATTTCTTTACCACCTTGTTAAAGGTGGTTGCCTTCCTTTGCGCTCGCCGCCCCCTCTCTACCTCCAAGATGAGAGTCTAAAAAAGAGGAAAAGGAGGAAAGGCAAGTCAGTATGCATCAAAATTTACTTTACGGTACATTAAGAAAATCGAAAAATACCTGCAAGGCTGCGCCGGCAACCCTCCAGGATAGTTCCCCGTCACTAACCCCTTTTAACATTTCACGCTCAGCGGGCGCACATAGCAGGGTCATATCCGCTGCAGCCTGCTCGCTGTGTTGCAACAGGTTATACCCTCTTGGGATCAGAATTCGGCGGTTGGATCTACCTGCTGTCATCCCCACATGGGCCGGACCCCGCGTTAATGCATCTGCATCCGCCTGGGCGGCCTCAGGGCCCACCCTCTCGATATCATCGCCCGCTTCTCCAACGGCAGCCGACGAGCCACTCTCCGGAATGCGTGTTGGGCTGGCGTCGAGAACCGCCCCCCTTGGGGAGCCGACCTCCCGGAACGGATGGCATCTGCCATAAAAACTGGCCTTGACTCCCGACGGGGCTCGCTGACCCCCCCCCCCCCCCTCCCCCCGTCTTCCGTGGCTATCCCCTTGCCGGTTATCAACCGACGTCTTTTCCTTTCCGGCGGCTCCTCGCTCTTAGAAGTCTCCTCCACATCCCGTGGGGATAGTATTAAAGGAGTCGCTTCCCTCGTGGACGCCGCCACAGGCAGCGGTTGAGGAACCTCCGCAGCGCCATCACTGGGCGAGCCACAGGGTATGTATCCGTCTTCAGAATCAGTCCCCGCCCCAGGTGAGGTGACGACATTCTTTTTCTTCTTCTTAGGGGCGCTCCGACCTGCCAACGCGAATAAGTCAGGTAACAAGAACGTAGGGAACTCCCAAACCGTAGCCAAAGAATTACCTGACGGGCCGTACTGTTGAAGAAATGCAGCCCAGGTACGGCATTCCTCCGCATAAGGTATTATTCTTTCCACCCATGATTTAATGTCATCAGTAAACTGGGGTGGAGAAGCCCTCGCTGCGAATAAAAAAGGGAGAAAAGCAAAGAAATCACAATGGCCGTATGGTCAAAAGCGCAAGCCGTCCTGAAGTCTACGAGTAGAAATACTTACGTTCTGGATTCCATCTTTCCGAGAACCCTTCGGGATTCGACACCAGGTGCTCCGTCCTGATGTAGAAATATTTACGCCAAAAGCGGCGGTTGGGCTTATCATCGGCTTTAACGACCAAGCCCCTTGTGCCACGACTTTTTAACTGCAGCATGGTACCCCTCAGGTAACCAGGGCTGAATAACTGTAAGAGGTGGTGGACCGAGACGCTCACTCAGCCCTGGCCGCATAAGTGGTCATAATACGGCACACCTTCAAGGTGTAAGGAGTGAGCTGAGTCGGACACACATTGTAAAAACGGCAAAGCTCCTCCATCAGAGGGTAGATTGGAAGATTGTAACTGATCAAGAACGGGTACTCATAGAATGTGCAATATCCAGGCCGGTGCACATTGGCATAGTCCGTCCCGGCCGGAACCATTTCCACGTGGTCCGGAATATGGTGCGTCTCTCGAAGATCATCTAAGTGGGATTGTAATAAAACGTTGTGCTCCCAGGGAAGGTCCGGGCTTTTAGTTGGAAAATCCCTGCGAACATGCATCTCCTTCGGAAGGATGTTGTCTACACTGAGAGGAACAAGGGCCTTCTCCGCCTTTTCCCCTTCACCACCGGAAGATGGCGGAACCCTAGACGGGGCATTATCTTTGGCCTTTTTACTACTCTGTCCACGTTTTGTCATGATTATACTACGTGAGAAACGAAGCACTGACTATAGGAAGTGTGGTTTCAACAGAAGTGGGAGAGTCCCTCACGAAATAACGGTTACGGGAAAGAAAGACAAAGGAGTAAATCAGAAAATGCTTTCTGAAGGCTTGAAAGTTGAATTGAATCGAACCCCTCTCCTACTTATAGGGATAAGTTGCGCAGAAATCGAAGAGTCATGATTCAAAACATACGCAGGAAACCAAAATGTCACATCATCCTCTGAACCGCCTCGGGGACAAATATAATAATGACACATACAGGCGATGACGTCATTCCAAAAAGGAAGCCACGCGTCAGTGGCTCAACAACGTCATATATTTCACCTCATTCATATTGCCGCCCCTGGTCGAGGTCAAATTCTCCTAAGCCGAGGTTCGCATTTCCGCCCATCGAAGACGCCCACCGAATGCGTCTCCAACGAGCGGAGGGACTAACTGTATAGGGTCAAATTTGACCGTCAGCATCTCTACGCCAGTGGGTACGCCAAGTGAGTGTACGCCGACTAACGTAGCGGGTACGACTCGGACGTGGGGACAAAAGCGACATCGTTTAGGACTCAGTGTTCTTTACTAGGGAGACGTTACCTGTCTTTGTAACTTTTTGATTCTTTCAACGAAGGTCTCTTATTATATAAAGGAGACCTTCACATTGTAAGGGGGGATTCGGATCTAATACAACTCTCTCATTTTCTGGCTTTCTCTCTCTATCTCTACCTCAAACGAACATATTCTATTGAGTTCATATTATCACTTTGCAATACTAGATCTACAACAATAACATCATCTTTGCATCTCTAGGTTTATTATATTTGATTACGATTTACCCTTTTCTTACTTTTGATTGTTTTCTAGCTTACAAAGTATATTGTTAACTTTTGAGCCGAACATATATATATATATATATATATATATATCTTGAATAATGACATTTTTTAAAGTGGAACTTTAGGCAGAATTTCAGTTTTATTCCAACTCATGTAAGCCACATAAATTTAGAAGGAGTAGGAGTACCAAAATACTTCAAGCTTTTAGTCCAAATGTGTGCCAACATAAAAATAGTCTTATATATATATATATATATATATATATATATATATATATATAGTAGGAGTACCAAAATACTTCAAGCTTTTAGTCCGAATGCGTGCCAACATAAAAATAGTCTAATGAATTCTCTGAATATGAATATAATGAAATATGGATACAGACAACTCATATAATTAATTGGTTCCAATTCCTTTATTGAAATATATTAATTTTGAAATATTATGGAACTACGTCCAATTAACATATAAATTATAAAATCAACTACATATGAAAACTTTTTGAAACAAAGAGAAATCAATGACATTTCTGTGAAGAAACAAAAGTTGACTTGTCAAAATATGATCTCACAGTTCTTATCAATTACTCCCTCCGGTCCAAAATAAGTAATTTTTTAGCTTTTTTCTTGTGGTCCAAAATAAGTGATTTTTCCAGATTTTAAGAATGAATTAATTATTTTTTCCTACATTGTCCTTGGAGTAAATAGTGTTGGAATATGTGTTAGGAGTGTTTATGTGAGATAGTAAAGGTTAATATGGTCAATTCCATTGCCAATTAATGCTAAAAGATAAATTTCTTAATCTGTGTGAAAACATCCAAAAAAATACTTATTTTGGACCGGAGGAAGTAGATTATCCTTGTTATTGCTTCTAGATTGTAATTTTATTCAATCTTATTTGTCATTCTAGATGGCAGGTCATGGAATTAATTTCCTATACTATCAATACACTAAATCTGCCACATTAAGGCTTGGAAAATGAAAGGGGCTGAGTGGAAAAACTGGTCCTACTTTCTAGAAAATCTATAGTTGAGAAACAAACACCAATTTTTATAACTTTCATTAATGAAAGAATAGTTCTAAGAAGGACAAATGGTCCATTTTAATTTGATAACATTGTTATAGATCTATTTTACCTAATTTTCAAGAAGTTAACTAAGAAAAATCAACCCCAAGATGGGCAAACAGCAAAAAGTTAAAGGAAGGACTGAGATGCTGAGTTGTTCTAATACTTTGTGCAACCTTACTTTATATTCTATAAGTCCATTTATTTAATTTAACGTATTATATCTTCTAGAAATCTATTTGTTTAATTTAACTTACCGTATATATTTATTATTATTTGAGACAAGATAAATTTATGAATTTTAGTATCTCTTTTTGATTTACTATGGTCTTTCCACTTTTCAGCCCCTTAGTTTCCATTAAACTAGTTATCCACTTTTCATTATTTTTTGTATCGTAAATCTATTTGTCCTTGTTCTATGACAAATTAAAGAATTTAAGTTAAACGCATATACATTATAAAAATTTACGCAATCATATTATTTATTAGGTAATCATAAGTTATATATATAGTATATGTTAATAGTGTTAAGATTTCTTTATAGTATATAACTATTGTTTAACATGTGATAATAGACTAGTCATTAATCTTTTCAGGTTACCAATTAATTTATATCATACAGATTGACTTGTAACTATGTAATAAGTGTATTAAGAAAGAAAAAAATCATGTAAAAAAGTATTTTTTTTTTTTTATAAAAAATAACTTTCTAGAAAATTATCAAACAAACACAACTTTACAATTGGAAAAAAATAATTTGCCAAAATATTTTTCATCTTCCTTTTGAAACAATTTCGAGAAAAAATGTGACTTAAATTATATTTTAGAATGCGGATTACAAAATGTATTTTGGGATATTTAAATCGTGTTTAGTAAATGCGATTTATAAGTCGCGTTTTGTAATTCGACTTATACATCTCCTTTAATAGTCGACTTATAAATTAGTAATTCCGATTAGACTGCCCCAGTTGATTTGAAACCCGTTAAAGTCAGTACCCGTTTTAAAGGACTGCCGAACCTAACTGCATAAAATCCACCGATTGATGCCCTAATCATTGTTGGAGATTTCAATTTGAAATTCGCTCTTCTATCGCACTTTCTTCTCCAGTAGAATCAACACAAATGCAGGTTTTTCTTCAAATTTTGTCTCCCCTAACAGTTTCCTAGGGCAAAAAGTTAGATTTTTACACAGTTGATTGGCCATAAAATAACTTGTAACTGTAACGTCGAAATTTGTGGAAAAAAGCGGTACTAGTGCATTTTTTCTTATGTTATACGAAATGTGCGTTTGTTTTTTCCCTATATTCCCGGCCTTGATCGTTTTTAGGAATTTCTTTGTTGTTTTTTTCCTGGATTTGATAATCATGTTAGAGAAGGAGAATGTTTTCCGCCAGTTTATCGTGCGAGTATTGTTTCTATTGTGTCTGCTTCAATTAGATAAGTTTTGGCTGTACGATGAGCTCCCTTTTGTCCAGAAATAATGGATTTTTGCATAATTTATGACCAGTTAAGTTGATGTTAACGTTTACAAGTTTTATAAGAGGACATTCTTTAGCATTCGGTTTTATAACTCTTTTTATTTCCCAATGGTGTCTGCTTGATGTATCTAACTGATAATCTGATATGTTTGATGGTGCTTGCGGTATGAGGATGTTATTGAATACTTTTGCAGGTTGAAAAGTGGAAGTTGGAATAAATAGAAAATGAACAACTCTTCTATAGGGCCATCGACAAAAGCTAGAGTAGGAGCATCGCAACCATCAGAAAGTTCATTAAAAAGAAAACGTGGCATGTTTCAGAAAGACCGTAAGTGACTGTTCACATAGGCGTGGATAAATCAATGAATCCAAGTTCTATTTATTAATGTTTCTTCTGTTTCATTGCACAGTGCAACACATGATGTATGGGTTTGGAGATGATAGTAATGTAAGATGCCTTTTCTCTTTTACGTTTCATCTTTTATTTTTTTCCCCTTGTGTATATTTGGTGATGTTTATATTCACTATTTCTTTTGATTGTGGGAAATTGACTAGAATATGCCATGGTGCTATTGCCAAGTTCTTTGTTTGTGCACGCGTTAATAGTAGAAAAAATTACAGATTTTGTTGGTTCATATTGAGTATGGCGTTTTGGTTTCTGTTTAATAATGTTCTAACAACAACATGCGCTGGCTACAGGAAACAGTTTGATCTTTCTTTTGGTAACATAACTACGCTTTTGTCTAAACTCTAGCAATAACTTTCAGAGGTACTTGTGCTGATACTTAAGAAAGAACAGAATCAGGAGTAGAATTTTGTACCATATTCGTCTAGTTTTCTCGCTATAAAGGATAATCTATCTCGTCGTAGCACACTCCTTTCTGGTTTACCAGATTTTCCTGTCCCTGCTCCATAAGTGATTTGAGCACGCTTGTACTGTGCTATTGACTCCACTATTAATACAGATAGTAATGCTAGCAGATTTTCTTCTTAATATGTTTTCTTTTGTGGCATCAAGTTTAGTGTTTTTACTGTAGTCAACTGAACTGGACTTCAAATGAATTTGGAAAGCGTGATGGTTGATTGCCTTGTATATCTAAATGTTGTGTCTCAAAGTTATCTGATCTTCTGTGATTCGGTATTATTTATACTCTGATTTACTGAACTTCTACTGTTGTACTATCAGCCGCTTCCAGAGACTGTGGCACTTGTGGAGGACATCGTTGTGGATTATGTCACTGATATGGTGAGATGAACTGATTTCTACCCAATTCTGTTCTTACCAAGAATTTCTGTCAACATATTCTCTTACTGTATATTGCGCCCTTCATTTTTTTACTATTATCTGTTTTCAGAAGAAACATGCATTTGGTCCTATCTTTTAAGCTTCACAACTTGTATAGGTGCACAAAGCTCAAGACATTGCAACCAAAAGGGGGAAGCTTTTGACAGAGGACTTTCTGTTCTTAATCAGAAAGGTAGACTTTTTTTATGAATTCAGCTTTTATTTATATGCATCTCTATCTCTTCTTTGTTTTTGTGTTTTAGTAGAAGTTGATATTTCTAGGTTGTGCATCCCAAGCTTAATCACTAGTCTGAGGTCTTATTTGTCGCATCCAAAAGTTAACCACTGGTCAAAGGTGTTAGTACTGCTATCAAGCTGAACAATTGGTTTCATATTTATGATAATCATAGTTTAGCTTATGTATTTACGTGATAGAATTGATATTCAAAATTGGTCCCGTTGGTCATGTTATGTATGTTTATACATGATTAAACTGAAACTCTTTTGGTCTAGTATATGCTTCTGTTGCAACTAAAGAAGTTGAGAATAGTCATCTTCATAGTTACTATATTGATTATCTATACAACAATTACTCCAATTTTTGGATTGGGGAGAATTGGACCGGGAGTTAATGGAGTTGTCTTGGCATTAGTTCCTTTGTTTAATACCACTTTCCTCATTCTATTGTCCTGCTTTCTGCTTTCTTTTGCTGTAATTCTAATATGAGTGAACACATGTCGGTAGCTGTAAAAGAGAATATAGAAGGCCATTATGAAAGATCAGTCATACCTATTGCTTGCGGGAGTTAATGGAGTTGTCTTGGCATTAGTTCCTTTGTTTAATACCACTTTCCTCATTCTATTGCCCTGCTTTCTGCTTTCTTTTGCTGTAATTCTAATATGAGTGAACACATGTCGGTAGCTGTAAAAGAGAATATAGAAGGCCATTATGAAAGATCAGTCATACCTATTGCTTGCATTGGCTCTGCGAGCTGCTGGATATGATGTTAGTTCAACTTTCTGTGCTCTGAGGTGCTGAATTTTGGATGAATACTGTTTTATTGTGCAGGACTTGCCCAAACTTAACCGGTGTACAGAATTATTGTCCATGAATGAGGAGCTGAAACAAGCTCGGAAGGCTTTTGAGGTTGACGAAGAGAAATTAGCTACACTTGAGTGATGGGGAGAATATAAAGTTATGATCTTACTTCAGAATGCCAAATTGAGTGGCACCTTAGGGACCAGTGTATACAATCTGCTCCTCATTTGCCAAAACAGAAGAGTTAATAGCTGCTGTCCGCAGTTTTCTCCAGCCTAATCAAATGACTGTGTCACCTTGTATCTGTGCTTAGAGTTACCTAGTCTTTGTTCTAGTTAACCTGTCTTTGAACATGCTTTTTTCTCTCTGTCCCCAGTTCCCAACATACACCTGTGTACAGTTGATATCCTGCTTCTGCTCAGTGTGCAGTTTCTTGGGGATTTTTATCAGAAAAAAAACACTGGGCATCGAGCTAATTGGAATGTTCTGCCTGCTTCATTAGATCCTCCTCAATGATGAAATCAGTTTCTTAAGTGCTCTTTTGATGCATTGAATCCACCCTCATGTACTTGAAGAATTCGATCCAAGGGCAGCTGATATGTCATCTATCTACTTTTTTTCCCCGTAGATAATGCCATCTATCTACTTAACACAAGTTGCCGTTCAATTAGATTGGTTTAAATCTGTTTAATACGCTAGAGAACCTACAAAGATTTGTATTTTTTACAAAATCCGTAACGTTAAGCATTTCAATTCTTCAAAACTTTCATTCTTAGGGTTGACTGTGTTGAAGGTGTATCAATATCCAGTCACTCTTTTGTTCCAACTTTGGATAAACTACATTTGACGAAGATGGAATATCTTATAACGTGAAGAGCAGGTTAAGAATCCATAGTGTTAGACTGTAACGGAACTTTTGTTGACGAGAGGTCAAGAGCTGTATTGCACTTATATTAAAACTTTCTACATTGCTGATAAATGATTTCATTCTTAAGGGTATAAAATTTAGTGTTAAGAAGGATTTTTTTTTTAACAATCAAAATTTTCCCTTTAATACTAATTTCTTTTAACAAAGTTGGCTCTATAAATAGTGGCAATATATATTATATAATAGATTGTAGTTAGATTGTAATTTATATGGCATTCTTTTCGTTTTGACAATCACTAGTTCAACATCTCTTACTATCACCATTAAATTAACAACTCGACTGATATGGAGGGTCAGTAATATCTACGTTTTGAAAATGAAAAACATATAAAGCATTTACACCTTTCCTGCTTACTCAAATGGTAATTTCAAATTGGTAGAAACATATCTCACGTCAGGCATTATTTTAGCAAAAAGAGTAACTCGTTGAGTTTTACCAAACTCATCAACCCACTCAGTTTTAGCGCCAACAGAACTATAAATATCTGTTCGAACCCATTTTGAATTCTCAAACCTCACTCTCTCTCACTCACACAAAACAAACACACACACACACGCGCGAAAATTCTCACAATTCAACTTTCCATAGCGGTAAGGAAATGTCAGCGTCAAAATCGAGCGCAAGGAAGAGAGTTTCGGAGCCGGAAATTCCGAAATCGGAGAGCAAAAGGCGAGTCGGAGCCGTCGAGGACGAATTCGATGCTGAGATCTCAGAGTACGCATTCATTTTCATTCATCGCTGTTGATTTTCTGAACTGTTTTCTGGAATTTGATGAAGTCGTATACACGTGTGAAATTTGACAGTGATATCAAAGGGATTATGACGGCGTTAAAGCAGATAAGAGAGAAAGCACAACAGGACGGTCTGAAGAAGAAAGAAGAAACTATCTCTAGGTGCGTTTTCTGCATTCCTGTTCTCATCTATCATGATTGTGCCGTGTATACATTATAATACATATATACGAAGCTTTATAAATTTGTGTACGCGTGGTTTGATCATCAGAGTGCTGAATCTCAAACCTAGAATCAACCTCTGTTTTCTCCGTTCACTTTGTTGAAGTACTCGCAGACGCGTTCGTTTCATGTATTTTATTATATTTCGCCTGTGCGTATTGCTAATATATTCACGTTTCACCAATTTCGTCAGCTAGGAGGAACTAGATATTTGTAAATTTTATGAGTCGAATTGGCGTATTTTTCTGCAAATTCTATTCCATATTCTCTCGATTGCAGCTTTTCCATTACGCAACACGGACTAGTATAAAGATCTATATAAATTCTTTCTAACTGTCTATTTTGATCAGGATATTGCTTATGATATAATAAATGCATTCTGAGCTCATTGTTGCCTTTGTGCACAGTACTTCTAGCAGAATTTTGGTTTTTGAAAATCATCTTCGGAATGAATGTGGGGAGTTGATGTTTGTGGAGATTTCTGATTATGCCAATGGTTTGCTTATTGTTTACATGAGCTTTGTGCAATAACAAGTACTGTTGCTTAATTTCATAACCTAAAAGTGATTCTAGTTTGACTGCCAGGTGCCAGCTTGTTAAGGCACTCAAGCAGCTAATATTTAAGTTCTGACACTTATATCAGTACTCAGTAGCTGTTTGACCAATCTGGTGTATTTTGCAACATTTATTAATTAGAGTAAGAAATGGATAAAAGAGTTTCACTGGTTGTTCTTGAGTGAAATTGAAACTAATTGGGACACTGTAAGCAATTGGGCATAAAGTAACTGCATGAAAATGTGTGCCAAATGTAAGCCTTATGAGTTCCGTTGTATTAAGGGCATAGTCCTCATCTGTTCCTGCGATATCAAGTCCAGCACTTACTATTTGGCGTGTTTCACTTTAATTTTAGAAATGATTACTAACATTACCGCTCTTGCTCTGTGGTTAGCGTGACTTCAGAAGTCAAGTCAAAGATTGATGAGCTGAAACTAAAACTTGAGAAAGACAGGTGAGAAATATCTGTTGCAAAATACATGCTAAGGCCCCGTTTGGCCATGAGTTTTCCCAAAATAAATTTGGGATTTATTTTCAAAACTCATGTTTGGACATAAATTTTGCTCATATTTTGGCCAAATCTCAAATCCCAAATTTCAAATCCCAAAATCAGCTATTGAGCTGATTTTAGGCCAAAATCCAAAACTTGGAATACATATACATAGTTTTCCTAAAATAAAAGTTGGTAAAANAAATTTCAAATCCCAAAATCAGCTATTGAGCTGATTTTGGGCCAAAATCCCAAAACTTGGGAATCATATACATGTTTTTCCAAAATAAAGTTGGAAAATATGTTTTGAAAACGTATGTCCAAACACATTTTCATCTTCAAACCAAACTTCACTCAAATCAGATTTTTCAAAATAAATTTGGGATCTATGGCCAAACGCTAGCTAAATGTAAGTTTTAATTCTTGGAAGTGGTAGCTTGTTGTTGATCCTCCATATTGTTTGATCATCAGGCAAAGTTTTGCCAAGGCACTGTCCAAGAGCTCCAAAGAGGTCAGCCTCAGTTAGATGAGTTAGCTGTGATAGGACGTTTGAATAGAAGCTTACTAGTACTACTAGTTTTTAACATATCTTGCTTCTTTGCAGTGTGAGAACTTACTTAAGACTGAAACATCTAAGTTTCAATCAATTTATGAGAATTTCAACAAGGAGAAAGCTACACATCTGCAGTCTCTCAAAGGTACTTTTTCTAGTTTGAGTTTTCCCCAACAAAGAGGCCTGTTTGTAGCCTGTACGGCATCTGGTCATTGTGTTTCTCGTTTAACCACCTCTTACATTTCATGAGATATCATTTTAAAAAAAGTTGCAAATCTTTTACTGGGAAAAAATGAACACTGTTTCAGAATTTCAACTAGATTTGGACGTTTATACTAGGGATATGTTTGATATGTTTTGAAGAGTCATTCTAACACACCCTGCTAGAAGAAGTCATGTAAAAGCTAACCATCGTGGCGGTATCTCAACAGATGCTATATCCAAATATGAGGAAGAAAAAGAAAGACTATTCATGCGATATGAGCAACTAAGTGAGTTACTGAAACTCTCTGTATTATATTCTCATTGATTAATAAGGATGCCTGTGACAGATTTTTATGACATTAATTCAGGAAAGAAAGAGAAGAGCATGATATCTGAACTTGAGCAAGACTCTAAGAAACGAATTACTGAAATAGAGGAGTCGCTGAAGAAAAAGAAGCAGGTTAACTTCTTTGATGCACCACTTCTCTGTCACACACGCAAGTATCCTCAAAACAGTTACTAATGTGTACATTTTGATGCTTGACAGGACGATAAAGCATTCAGCTTTCTGAGAAAAACTCTAGGTTCATTTCTGGATAATGCCTCAGATGAGGACTTCCCACCTGATGATTGAAAGTCGCGCAGATGTATCTGCAGCTGCCATTGCTTCTATCTCCTGATGATTGAGAGTCCCACAGACTGTCCATGGAATACCACCACTAGCAATTAATTGGAACATCTTATAGTTGATATAAAAAAGACCAGAAGCTCTTCTATAGTCAAGCTTATATGGTTAAACTGTTCCATTGATCAATAGTTTTTCTTAGTAGTTGCATTGGATAACTATCATTTGCTGCACATTCAATATTGCTGTTTAATCCTAGCAGGACAGACTAATGTTGAGTCCAAAGCCCGGATTGAGATGTATTAAATGGTATAGGTGTTCTAATTCTTCCGCTGCTCAACCAAGTCATGTTTTTATTTCTTTTTTTCGTCACTTGATCTCGTAATAGACAATGATTGTCGTTTTACGTTTTCCAAAATGTTTGTGTTGCACATATCCACTAGTATCCTTAAGAGAAATCTTTCAGCTACGGTTAACACAATAATCCCACATGTAAGTAAATAATACTGTATAAAACCACCTGATTCACTACTATAAGAAAAATCATTATACAATGTTAGAACTTGTGGGTAGTTCTATGCAACTGATGTATCAAAGACCTCAATTGGAATCATATTGACATAGTTTGGGAACTTAAAGTCGGTCTCTCTTTTCTGATCAGTAACTTGTGGAGATTTCAGACTTCTTCCAGTCCCATATACACTGGTCCACATTCACTGTGTTATGGATATGAAATTACCACACAATAATACCAAGTGGACATGGTTCCATAACAGAAGATCAAGGGGGTCGATCCAATAGATTGAAAGTTCAATGGTTCTAACACAACATAAAGTGAAAGAATTTTGTTCTTATTTGTAAAATGATTACATTAGTATAACAGAGTTTGCCTTCCCTATATTTGCTGTTCAGAAACTGAATTAGCCTCCACTAATAGGTGGTATAATGGCCAATTCATCTCCATCTTTGACCGTGGTGGACTCAGGTGTGTATTCCTCATTCCGGGCCAGAAGCATGCACCCACGAATCTCTTCCAAGCGGGGGAAGCGAGAAATGACCTTATTCAAGCAATCACCGGCAGTACTACCATAAGAAACTTCCAATGGCATTTCAGTCATGCCGGTCAGATCTCTAGCACGGGCGAAAAACAGAAACTTTATCTGAAGAGATCTACTCTCATCTTCATTCTGCAAAGTTTCCTCATCTTTACTGTCAATTTGTTTATCAACCATGTCTCCTACCCAACATATTCAACAGCAGGGGTAACATTTATCAGTTATGCTCCATTTCCAAAGTCATGATTTTCCAGAAATCAATATTGACAACAGAAATAACATATAGTAGTTTTTTTCGGGAAGGAAGCTATGGAACTAAAATTAAGCTTCTTTTTTAATAACAAAGACAACTAAGCCATCTAGAAGATGGGAATAGAAGAATTGTCAGTTATATTAAAGAAAAAAAAAAACAGCGTAGCCATCTTCTTGTGATGGTTAACATGAACTACTGAATCTTTAATAGTTACCCTTAGCCCCAGAAGTCAATAACTATTTACTCAATGCTACCCTAGTTTGACATGATCCCCTTGACACAATGGTGGTCCTATTATACACCTTGCATTTTACCAAAGAACTAAATGCATTAAGTTTAAATAACATCTTCACGACCCGTTATCCCTGAAAATTTTAAAACATGAGACAAGAGAAACAAAGGGAACTCAAATATACAAGTGTGTTCGATAATATGCACCCAACGGTGTGGCGTAGCGGTCGATGAAGTAGGTGAAAACAATGAGATACCGGCTAAAATACTTGCAGAGACAAAAAATACTAAGTGATTTCTTTTTTTATAAGGAACGCTAAAGTGATTTCTTCCCATGTGCCTAAACCTTGATGGGCTGATACTTGTACTAGTGGTAGGTAGCAACTACCCGGTCGAATCATCGAGGGGCGCACAAATTGGCCCAAACAACACCATAAAAAAACTAGAGCTCACATATAAAATTCCTTTAGACAATATGCATCAGTGACATTCAAGTAAATGGCAATTTCAATTTCCAAGTTCAGCAAATATAGGATTAGATTGAAACCACCAACGCAAATTTTTCTAGAGCAGAAGAAGAGGAAAATCATTTGCATCGAGATATTAAAGTAGCAATTTTTGCAGCAGATCCAGCAATCTTCAGAGTTTAAGCACACAACATCTTTTAGACAATCGCACTGTTGGTTGTCAAACTTTGAGTAGTTATTAATGATTTATGCTCAAGAAGAAGACGGTTATATGTTCAGATTGGAGACGGATGTCTAAGAACTGAAGGCACAGAAATATGTCTTGCAAGATGAACAAAACATACAACCATGATTCACATCGAAATTTATAGAGAAGGTTTTTTCCTGAGGAAAATAGGGAAGTCTAGGCTGTTCTTTCCATGACATCCTACTATAAGCTCTATTCACCCATAGAGTTGATCAATACATTAAGAATAGTCAACATTAAAACGAGGCAACAAAAGACTGAAACAATGATATGCAGTGAGATGGAAAAAAAATAACTAGAAGGATCAAAAGAGAAGTGCATTAGGTTATTGCTTCTCCAAACCTGAAGCTTTAGAGTAAATAAAAGACCAAATGAAATATAATTATATGACACCCTTCCCCTACCCCCTTCTCCTCATGCTCACTTCGTTTATATTGCTTTGGTAGATTTTGTTTCATAATTGGTTCTTGATGTGCAAAAGCAAAACACATGAAAAAGCTCCAGCTATGCGCGGGGTCGGTGAAGGGCCGGACTACATTGGGTCTCATGTAGGCGGCCACCAGGAAAAAAGAAAGACAGCAAAGACAAATAAGTACAAGTTGCAGAGCATATTTTTATATGGTTTCAACATGTAACAGCAAGGGTCAACACACAGGAATAAATACAGAAGGTGGTTGTAATTAAGAAGAAACAAGAGAGAGTTTTGTTTGTAACAGATATAGGATGTATTGAGAAATGGAACCCAAGTAGAAAGTGATTACTGATGCTGTATTCCAGAAAAAGTTGAGCCCAAACCATTTCTTGCAATTTACTTTTGCTCTTTATATTTGGAAACTAGATAAAGCCCTAAGCTAAAACATTTGAGAAACAAACAGCTAATAATAAAGAATTTAAAGGAAAAAAGATTCAAAGTTTAAAGTTCAGAAACATCTACACTGATATCAAAATAGCTTTCTCAACAACGTAGGACTAATTCATTATCAAATTGAAACTCAAATTTTGTTGAAAATTGAAGAATCAAATATGTGTGAGCTCAAATTGGAAAAGCAAAGATCTTAACTTTACCTTCTCTAAAGATGGGTGATAACCCTCTCAGTGCCGCTGGCTGGAATTGGATAGAAGAGGATGCGAAAATTAGTTTATAAATTCAATCAAATCTGTTCTTATCATTAAAAAAGATGATTGGATTTGTATATATAACAGACAAATGATTGCACGACTTTGGAGTTTGATTTGGTTTGACATTAAATTTTTTATAAATGATTTTAAACAAAAGAAATCAAATTATCCAATCAAATCTATAAAATATTCATATATACTAGTCACTTGATAAGCAATGTATATCGTATTCATGAGATTTTTTTTTTTTAGAATGACATAAATCAATATGTCCAAATTATAAAAATAGCAATTTAAAAAATTGCAAGTTTCTGAAAATAATAAATGTTGTTGTTTAAAAATTTGGATTCGTCCGGTTTGTTCGAGTATTTATTTCAAGTCTTGCCAACTCAAGATAATAAGGTGTAAGAGTGGCAATTAGTTCACTAAAAACTTGAAGAAGTTTTACTGAGTTATTTTTTCCTATGTTCTGCTTACAAGAGCTTCTTGCTTTAGTAAGCTTCTATGTTATAATACTCATGGTTAGAAATTGAAATGAAAATTTTCTGCAAAAAAGAACCCATTAGATACGTAAAAATAGCACGTGCTAGCCAGTTTTTGGACTAGTTATTCAAAAATAGTCAGCGTTTGCAAAGTCATTGAAAAATAGTCGCTATTTTGCGGTAACAGGGACCAGTTCAGCATAATATACTGGAGATCGGTGCACCTGTGTATGAACTTCCATCATATTATGCTGGAACTCCAACAAGCGGAAAGTTCCAGCATAATATACTGGAGATTGAAGCACCTGTATATGAACTTCTAGCATATTATGCTGGACCAGTATATTATACTGGAACTCCAGTATATTATGCTGGAGTTCCAGTATACTTATGCTGGAACTCCATTATAATATGCTGGAGTATTTTCCGGATTTTGAACAGTATTTTTGTTCAGATATATCTTTACATAAAAAGTGGCTAAAATTCGATTACTTTTGAAACTGTGGCTATTTTTGAATGACCACTTGTAAATCTGGCTACTTTTGAATTTCTCCCATTAGATAATCACTTGGTTAGCATATTTCTATTTATTATCTATTCAAATAAAACCTTCCCAGTTTTAAATACATGTGTTTTCTGAATAAAAATGAAGCACCAGAGAAGAAGAACCCGCTAATATTAGGCCTATCACCTTTAGGAGATGATTAAAGGAAAAATACTGTATAACCGCTGTAAAAATAATAGCCGAAAAAATATATAATATTTTTATATTTTTTGTATATATATATATATATATATATATTTTATATACAAAATTATACAAATTTTATACACTTTTTCACCAGATATAACCAGATGTAAATAGTTTCTGGCGCGGAAAAGTGATAATACCCCTGGATTAAAAGACCTGCAACTCTATTACTATTGAGTTTACCTTTCTCCGAAAAAAGAAAGAAGCTATCACAACACCAGACTGAATTTAGGATCCAAAAGATTTTAATTTCACGGTTGGATTGCACCTGAAAAAGAAAAGGGAAGAAACAAATAACAAATTAAATTTGTGTTACGTACTAATTGATTTTTGTTTTTTCATTTTGATTAATCGTCTTCTCTTTAAATATCCCGGGAATCTAGTTTTAGGCTGTTCCTCTAGTGGAAAATAGAAGTTGTGGCCTTATTGAAAGATTGAAATAACGTAGTAAGTTAAAATCGGAAAAGAGTAATTCTACATTTCTAGAAATTATACTTTCGGAAAAAACGTATTCACATTAATATTTGCGGCATATGGCGTTCCTCTGACCTGAGCTCTGAAGGCGACTTTAAGCAGGGAAACGTACGCACAACGATAATGGCCCGACGGAAATCACAGATAATTGTGCCCCCTACAATACTGGAGACAGATGGAGGTAGAATGGTAACACCAGAATCAGGAGTACCACAAATGATAGGTCAGATGCAACTGGTCCACTGGATGACTGGAATGGGAAGCACACCAACAGTCATGCAAGCTTCGAAATGTGTTGAAGAAGAGAATCCCAAACCAGCAGAGGTAGATGTCAATACAGCAGCAAAGAAGCTGACTTTCTTGGTGCAACGAGCAAACCCTAATCGACCAGAGCTGACTTTAGCTGATGTGGTCAAAGAAAATCGAGCGCAGCAATAGGGGCTGCAATTGGAATACTCTCCGCCAATAATGAAGGAAGGAGTGTAGATTGTGCGACTGAATCAGGCTGAAGTAGCACATCAAACCCAGAAATGGAAAGAAACGCTAATTGGGTATGTACTGGGTGGAACTCCCTCTTTCAAAGAAATGTTAAAATTTGTGTATGGTATGTGGAATTTTATCACTGTACCACAGGTATTCCTACATGATGATGGGTACTTTATATTCAGATTTAGATCTGAGGAAGATAAGAACAAACTTATACAACAAGGTCCATATACATATCATAACAGACCCATGATACTGAAGCAATGGAGCCTAATTTCTATACGAGTAAAGAAATGACTGGAACTGTGCCAATATGGGTCACATTCCCAGGATTACCAATCCAATACTGGACAAAGGAGAATTTGGGGCATATAGCTAGCTACTTAAGAAAACCTATATGTTTGAATAAACTTACAGCAAAGGGGATAGGATTTCCTATGCGCTTATGCTTGTCGAAATAGATGTACCGCAGGAGCTACCAGATACAATGCTCATTGAAGAAGTAGATGGCAAGTATAAAGAACAAGCATTGGACTATGAATGGAAACTTGCTTTTTATGAGGAGTGTTTGTTCGGAACAAATTTTCGTAGTACGAAAAATAAACTGCAACAAAAATAACATGAAGAAAAAGAGATTTATTGATAAATATTTGTGAGTACAATTCTATGTATCCCTTGATTCTCCTCTCAAAAATTCTCCGTGATTCGAGGGCTTGAGAAGCGTCTTTCTCGAATGTAGGATGATGCAGACCTCCTTGTGATGTATTAATCGCCAAGAATGTCGAGCAGCACTTTGTTGTTACGGTTGATCTCCGGGAAGAACTCTGTTGATCACTCATTTGTTGAAGAACTATGCACTTGATGATTGATCTCTCTGTTTGTGGATTCCTTCACCAATTGCGGAATGCTCTTCTCCAACTCTGAATGTCCTCTGAGAGTTATGTAACCCTCTATTTATAGTTGTAGGGGATGGACAGTCCAACTACATATGAACTCTCTTGCTTGATTCTGATTGGCCCATGTCATTTTTGCCATTTGGCGACCTGTGGTTGGTTCTTACTTTTTGACTTGGACTGCCACATGATTTAACACGTGGCATCATCTTGTTGGCTTTGGATTTGACTGGACATGCCATGTCATTTGACACATGGTACGAGTCTGGGCCTTAAGATGAAGAGAACCTTAGGCTCGAAAATAATAAAATGGACTAATTTAACTTGTAAAGCCCAAATTAATTATTTAACCCAATTGAATTTAATTCAAATTTTGTATGGATTAGGGGTGTGTTTGGTATGGAGGAAAATATTTTCCGAAAAATATTTTCCAATTTTTCCATGTTTGGTTGGCTTAAATGTTTTGGAAAATATTTTCTTTATCAACTCATTTTCCTCCAATTGGAGGAAAGTGTTTTCCTTATCAATAGAAGGGAAAACATTTTGCAAAACTCCTTCTCAACATTCCCCACCCTCACCAACCCACCCACCCCCTCTCTCCAAAAAAGGCTTTTTTCTTTTAAAATTTCACTTTTCTGTTAACCCCCCCCCCCCCCCGCAAAAAATAAAAAAAATTTACCTATTTTTTTTTTTTGCAATTTCAAATTTTTGTATTTCGTTTTTCTGCACCACCCACCCACCCCCACTCTCCCCTACCCTACCCCCATCCCCCCCCCCCCGAATAAAAAGTGATTTTTTTTACTTTTTTTTTTGTAATTTTAAATTTCTGCTTTTTTCTTTGGAAGTTTACGGGTTTAGAAATTATAAAGTTTATGGGTTCGAAATACCGTGGTTTCGAAAGTTTAGCGGTTCGAAAGTTTATAAAATTTGTGGATTCAGAAGGTTGTTAGTTTGAAAGTTCATGGCTTCATGTTTATTATATCTAAATTATTTATGAATACTCTTGAGAAGTCATTTTTCTTAATTTGCGTACCGAACACCGGAAAATGAATAAGATTACTACTTGTTTTTCACGGATAATATTTTCCATTATACCAAACACACCCTAGACCCAATAAATTTCATATGTCTACAGATGTCCCCTACTTCAAGATTTGTCGAAGTGTAGGCTTGCTGAAACGAATGACGAGACTTGAAGTACCAACGAACGTTGATATTTTTGTTTTAGCACTTGTGGTGACTTCTACCGGTCAAATCCGAGCTTTTATCCTGTTGCACATTTATGTGAAGTGTTAAATACAAGCTCCAAGAAAAAATTAACCTTCCAATACTGCGGTTGTCGAACACGTGTGCGCAATGTAATTTGGTTTGGAAGTAGCAATTACAAACTATAGTGATGAAAAATTCTTGCAAAGTATAGACAACTTTCCATGTTTGTCTCACGCTAGGCATATTTCCTTTTTTACCAAGAGCAAACAAGGAAAAATATTTTTAGACCTTGTAAGGAAAGGCAACGTTTTTTTTCCTCTAGGATGCTAACTTTTTGTTTTCTTCACTTATAACTCACACTTTGTTAGATCCTTTTCCAAACTTGGCATGTATTGTGTAAGATTCATCATTAACTTTGCATAACTTGCATTGTATCTTAATGTAGAAACAACTCGGCCAATTCAATTCACACCTATTTAAGCAGCCATCCTTTGGTGTATGTTTTCACGGTGCAAAATTTTTGGAGAGAAGCTATCTGCCCCCTTTGCGCACTTGCGGTGAAATATTCACATCTCGCCATAGGAGAGTCTAAATCATGGACGGCCTGATTCTATAGAAAGCAGACTTAGGGTGGGGCAACGTTTTAAAAAAACAGATCTAAACTCCTTCTGGATCAGCTGGAGTTAGATTTCGAAAATCGTGATCTACTCGTCTGGCCTGTAAAGCTGACAACATCGTGCACTCTCGCAAAAGGAATCGTACTATGGTGTACGAGCGTCGAAAGCACAAGCCACTTGATTCTGCTAAAACAAGACACTGATGGATGTAACATATCCAAGAACCGGAGCAAAAATCCTTCTGTACCATCTTAGGTAATGTTTTTAATTTTTGTTTCAGGTGCTGCCGCGTTAATCTTTCGGCTTTGCGCGTCTTCACAAGAAACTTCATATTTTGGTGTAGGAACGTCGGAATCACGAGAGGTTTACGGCTACAGAAACTAGACTCGGAGTACTGCAATATACCAAAAATTTAGATTTAAATTCGTATTGTATTATCCAAGGTGGACTTCCTAAACTTGGTCCAAGTTCTGTCGCGCTCGACATTTCAGCTTTGCATGCTCTTGCTAAAAAAATGCATATCTCAAGATAGGAGCATCCGAACTACGAGCTGTTTACACCGTTGGTAAGAAGACTCAATGATAGACAACATCTATAAAAGTCGAAGCTCCAGCCCTTTTGATCCAGATGCAACCAATCTTTGATCGATCAAGCGCCGAAATCGCGAGGATTGTTCGGGCAGCATACTTCTTTTTTCCCCCCATTTTTTCGTTGCAGGCTTGGAGAAGATGTACATGGCGAGTTCTCCAATCTGCATCATTAGAAGAATTGGATGATCACTACTCCTTTTTTGCAGGGAAGAGGTTCATGAAGCGTACGATCCATCGAGATTTAACGGAGAAGTGCACATCCCAATGCTCACCATCCGCATTGAAGCGTCGTGTCATTGACACCGAGGACTCCCAAAATATTTTCTTTTTCAGGGTTTTGAGAGACTTCCAGAGATCTTGATGTCCCTAGGAAGATGCATTACGAGCGAACCACTCGTCTCTTTGTTGCGGTTGGCGAGAGAGACACATGAAGTGTCCTTTCAACATCGGCGATGAAATCCCTACTCTTGGAGGCTCGGAGAGATCCTATCTCATTATTGGCGAGCACAATATGTACCATATTGCATCATTGCAGGTTGACGAGGAAGACAACTGGAGTAGGCCTTTCCAACTTCGGCGAGCAAACACTTAGCGCGTCTCTGCAAAAATATTTATTTCTCGATGCAGGAGTGATAAAATCACAAGTCGCTTCTTCCAAAAGAATAAAAACTCAAAGGGCTAGAAGACATAAAAAATTCAGCACCAAATTCCTTGAGGATTAGCTGCAATATTTTTTTTGAAGCTGATAAACGTGTCCAGCGTTTTAACTTTACAGCATTGTATAGTCTCGCCAAAAGATTGATATCTCGAGCTAGGAGTGTCTGAATCGCAATCCGTTTGCGCCATTGGAAGGAAAGCTCCGACACCTATCACACCTGAAAATTTCATAGCAGGATTCCCCTCATAATGGCTGCAATAATATTCTGAAGTTGCTCCTAACGTCTGCTGTACTTGCAATCCAGCTTTGCGCACTCCTATAGAAAAATTCATATCTCAAGCTATGAGACTCAAAATTGCAATCCGTTTGAGCGGTTAGAAAGTAAACTCATAGAGCTGCAGCACAAATGAATTTCATGACAGAACTCCTTTCGATCTGGGAACAGAAAATTCTCAAAATCCACCTAGCTGTAGTAACTTTCAGATTCGTGCGTTTCCGACAACAAAAATCGTATCTTGAGCTAGGAGCCTCCAAATCGCAAACGGATTGTGTTGTTGGAGATTAGACATCCAAATCTACAACATATAAAATGTTTGGGGCAGAATGTCTTCCGGATGGACCGCAATAGTTTTCCAAAGTTGATCCCGTCGTCCGTTGAGCTCGCTTTCCAGCTTTATACTCTCTAAGTTGTCCTATGAATGTTGTTTCTTCTTTTTTTTTTTTTTGAAATTTACTCTACAGTTTTGGATGTAGTAATTTTTGCTATCATGCTTCACAAATCTTATCTCTTCGTTTTCTTTTGCAGACTCGCAAAGAAGCTCAAAGGGTCGAGATATCAGATTGAGGTGTCATACAAGATGCGGAGCCACCCCTTCACCAACTGTTGCACTTGATTGGTTGATAGTCTTGAAGTTCATCAACGGCGTCTGCCACGGTGATTGAAGATTTTTTTCAAGAGAGACCACTTGTCATATATGGGACCTTCAACCAACAATCGAGAATGGCATTAAATGTGGAGACATCATACGGACTTGGAAAAACATTTAAGACGCGTCAGCAACGAAGCCTAGTTTACGATCATCTTCATGATTTAGGCTTTTGTGTAGAAAAATGTCTATTTTCTTTTGTCTCTACATTTTTTGATGTATCAATTTTTGTACTATTGAAGCAATAAAACATCTTTTATACTTCAAAGCAAATCGTCTCCCTTTCCTCATAGATATGTGCCTCTATACTTAAAAGAATTGATGTAATGATCCGGTGATGCTAAAATTTTATTTTTTTAAAACTCATGCGACTGAACTTAGAATAAAACTCTAAGATGCCTACGTACCTCGATGAAGAGAATCAAGTCATAACGTAGTTCAGAGTGGTGAGTTTTTTTTTATGTCCTAATTTTTGCCTAGGCCGCCTCTCGCGAAGTTTTCAACCTAGCTGACTTTTTTATTTTGCCTAGGGCGCCTCTTTCGAGTTTTTCCAACCTAGCAGACTATTTTTTTTGGGTCGTACACAGTTTAGACTCATGTGGGCCAGGAGTGTAGCAACGTGCTGTTTAGGCTCATGCTTCAAGGAGCGTCATGACTTGCAGTTTAGGCTCGTACGCCGAGGAGCGTAGGTGACTTTCATGGGAAATACTGCTTCAGAAATTTTCCGTTGATCGGACCAACTCCGAGACCATCCTTATCGACAATTTTGTATGCGCCGCTTGAATAGGCTTCCTTCACAACATATGGTCCATCCCATTTTGAGGTAAACTTGTCGCCTATGCGTGTGTTGAGGATTATGGGTCGTCGAACAGATAGGACTAAGTCTCCCACTTAGAATGATCGTGGTCGCACTTTCTTGTTGAAGGCTCTAGCTAGTCGAGCTTGATAGCACTCCAATTTTTGTTTCGTTACTAGTCTTTTCTCATCCGAGGCCTCTAACTCTGCCAGGCGAAGTTGAGCATTCTCTTCGAATGTGAGCTCTTCTTGGATTTCGATCCGCAATGATGGAATTTGTTGCTCCAACGGAAGGACTGCTTTTACGCCATACACCAAAGAGTAAGGAGTTGCTTGTGTAGCAGTTCTGAAGGTTGTCTGGTATGCCCACAAAGCTTCACCAATTTTCTCATGCCAGTCTCTCTTGTTCTTTGCAACAACTTTCTTCAAAAGGTTACCAAGCGTCTGTTAAAAGCTTCAGCAAGGCCATTGGCGGGTGCATTATAAATTGAAGACTTATGTTGTTTGAAACCGAACTTCTCGCACAGACTCTTCACAAGCTTGTTGTCAAATGGCGTTCCATTATCAGTGATTATGTATCTTGGCGTGCCGTACTAAATCATATATGACTTGATAAAATCGACAACGGTTTCCTTTTTCACCTCCTTGAGTGGAACAGCTTCAGCCCATTTAGAGAAGTAGTCCGTAGAGGCCAATATGTACATCTGTCCCTTTGACGACTTTGGAAGTGGTCCAACAACATCAAGTCCCCATGCATCAAAAGGCCATGAAGCTACAGTTGGGTGAAGAGGCTCTGGAGGTTGGTGGATGTAGTTGGCATGAAATTGACACGCTTGGCATCTTTTGGCATGATCCATGCAATCCTTCACCATTGTCGCCCAGTAGTAGCCCATCCTCTTGATGCGAAAATGGAGCTTGGGACCAGATTGGTGTGCTCCACATGAGCCAGAATGTGCTTCCTCCATCGCTTGGCGGGCTTCTTCTTTGTCAAGAAATCGCAAGAATAGTCCTTCAAAAGAGCGGCAAAACAATGTCCCCTTATAGAAGATGAATCGTGGTGCTCTTCGTTTGATGTCTGTTCTTTGTCGCGGATCTTCAGGTAAATTTCCATGTTCAAGGTTCTCTATCAGTGGTTGCCTCCAATCTTCTTCTTCAATCACTCGAACAGACGTATGATGGCTTTCGTAGATTTGAAGATCCAGAAGTCTAGGAATAACCCATCAATGACACACATATACCTTTGTTGACTCATTCTCTCCAAGTGCCATCGTCGTGGCCAAGTTAGCCAAAGCATCAGCCTTGCGATTTTCTTCTCTTGGGACGTGGCTTAAGAACACTTGGTCGAATTTTTCAAGTAAACCAGAAGCGTATTGATGGTATGGCAATAGATCTTCCTTCTTTACCTCGTAACTCCCCAAAAGTTGGTTGATAATCAGCTTAGAGTCGCCGTGGATCTCCAACTGTAGAATCTTCATTTCTAATGCCATTTCGAGACCGACGATCAAAGCTTGGTACTCTGCGGCTTTGTTGGAGCATGTTTCATCTACAACAAAAGAGAATGGCAAGACTTGTCTTTCTGGAGAGATCAACACAACACCTGCCCCGGTACTGTTACGACGTGCAGATCCATCAAAGAACATTGTCCATGGTGGAAACTCTTCGATGAACAAAACGTCTTCATCTGGAAACTAATCCGAATGCTCCCATTCCGCCAGAAGAGGGTGATCAGCCAGAAAATTGGCTAGTGCTTGTCCTTTCACAGCTTTTTGAGGTGTGTATATGATCTCATATTGGTTAAACAATATGGACCATCTTGCTAAGCGTCCAGAAAGAATAGGTCGAGTCATCACGAACTTCACAGGATCTGCTTGAGAGATGAGTTTGATGGTGTATGCTTTAAAATAATGCCTTAGCTTCTTTATTACATAAAGTAACGCTAAGCATATTTTCTCAACAGGCGTGTCACACCTCCTTTTTCAATACACCACCCCGAAAGGTAGTGTATAAGGGAGTTTTTCCAATTTAAGTGACATTATTCGAAATGGGATTATTTATTTATCAGAGTCGCCACTTGGGATAGTTTATTTGGTGTCCCAAGTCACCGGTATATTTTGAATCCCAAATCGAGGAAAATTTCGACTTTCCTTGTGAAGTCTGCGAACCAGAAATTCTGAATAAGGAATTCTGTTAACCCGAGGGAAGGTGTTAGGCACCCCCGGGTTCCGTGGTTCTAGCACGGTCGCTTAAACTATCATAATTGGCCTATTATCTGATTTTGATACATGTTTTAGCCTATGGTATGATTTTAGAAATTATTAACCGCTTTATTTTATTTTAAAAAAGATTTAACGTCGTTTAAAACATGTCTTTGGATCGCGCCACATGAAATGCACCCGCAATCCGAAACACATTTTATTCAACGTTGTTGAGATTTGGATTTGGGTCACATGAAATGCACACCCGAGTTTAGGAAGGTAACATTATTAAAATACGTGCCTAAAGCAACTACGCATTTTTAACTTTGCGAGGGCCATGGAAATTTGCTAAATGGCACGCCTCGAATTCTAAGTATTTTAAAAGAAATAATTAAATGAGGGCCACACATTTGAGATTTTATTTGGCGCGGCGCACCTCGATTCCATTTTAAAAGGGTAAAGGTATTCAAACTAAAGCTCGGAGGGCCATAAACTACTTATTTTATCTAATATGGCTCCCCTCCATTAGTTAATGGGCTTAATGAAACACTTAAAGGCAAAGAAATATTCTTCTCAAACTAACTAAAGGCTTATGTGAAAAGAAAAATAATTGGGCAAAAGGGATTAGCCCAGCATCAAACAGGCGAATGGTCCAATGGAAAAAGAAGTGATCCAAATCCATTTTTTGAAAGGACTGTCCAGTTTGGGCCCAAGGATGAGCCCAAATTCACAAACTCGTTGGTTCTGGGTGACAGACTCAATAACGAGTCTTCACAATACACAAATGAGCGTCTGAAGTGACAAATATTTCGACGCAAATTCAGAAAGCCAAACATTGAGACCAATACATGTGCAAATGAACTTTGGAATCATTTTTTACTCATTGATGGGCAATTATAATAATCTGACCTTAAACAGAAAGCGATTGAAAGATGACAAGTAAAGGCAAACAATCCTCAATCAGATTCAAGCTTGGGCCTGAATGAGCCCAAAATTATGAAGGTCCAAAGAAATGACCTGGGCTAGGCCCAAAGCAGAGACCAATTCAACCACATTATGCGTTGGCAAGGCAAGGATTTAAGGTCAAATCCTTGTAACAACACAATCAAATTCCAAATAAAATGATCAAATGACCCCAGATCAATCATTGGTTCATCATGACTGGAATCATCCTTCCAATTAACTTCAGTGTTATGGGAGTAGTTTAAACATGGATCTTAAACTCTAAAACTCGTGACAATCATGCTTACAAAACTACATTTGCATAAATCAATACACACGCAGGCCAACATTCAGCCTTTCAATAAACCTCAAATAAGCATAAACTTGAACATTATTACTGACTCTACGTGAACAGACCTCATTTAAAGCCTAACAGAGCTAGTTATGAACCGGACTTTAACACATGATGCTGGTGAATAAGATAGCAGTGAACCTAGGACATTAGATCTCTATTAATGAACAAAAAAAGTCATTCAAAAACATGTGGGAAATCATGGAGATGAACTGAAAGTTTAACATATGAACCTCATATCATTTCTACTAATAGCTACAAACCATTCACTTAAAGCTAACTTAAACAAAGGTCACAGTAAACTAGAAAAAACAAATCAGAAAACAAAAATGGAATAATTCTCATGCTTCAACTCTTCAAATCGATTCATTCCTCAAGTTTTCACTTCACAATCAACAGGGTTACAGAGGTGTGTACCTGGGAAAGTTAAATAAAAGGAAAGGGAGGGAATCAACAAAGCAGAACAGTATCAGCAGGTACAACAGTAGAAATCAGCACCAAAGAAACCAGTAAAAACAGCGCCAAACCCCAGGAATGATAGATAGCAGCTCAATATATCAGGTTCAAACCAAACAACAGCCCAGCAAAACTTTAAACCAAAACTTTGACGACCAAGTTTAAATCATTTCTCACTCGGATGAATTAAAATAGTTTCAGAAGTTGAAAAGAAATCAAAATCACTGAAAACTTAATGAAACAGTAGCTTTTCCTTCAATTCTCAGCCGTTTCCCTTTGTGTGGATTTTTTAGCTCTCTAAAATCTGATTTGAGCTGCAAGTAACAATGCCTTTATAGGCAAGCTACTAGGGCAGCCTTAAGGGTTCAGTTTTTGCAATTGAGCCCTTTTGGAATTTTGGTTTTTTGCTTAGAAATCCCTCATTTTCTGACTTGCTAGCCAAGCAAGTCTATTCTCAGCTTCTGAGAAGCTTCTTAAGTGGTTGCTTGAGATATTCCCTCAGTACTTTACCCAAACCACCCTTAGTTACCCCTGAAATTTACCCTTGAGCCTTAGACGGATTATGGGTCAAGTTGACCCTGGGCTGATCCATTTAGAAGTTCAGCCCAAACCTGAACTTCAAGGTATGAACCTCAAGCCCAAGCAACATCAAAACTAAACAAATGAGAACAAATAAGGAACCAGAAGCAATTCGAGCAACTTTTGGAAATTCAACTAATGAACAAACAATTAACGAACGTGAAACTAAAATAATAATAGACTGTTTAAACTAATTAAAGAAAAGAAAACTTCTTAAAAACTAACATGCATGTAAAGGACAACTGAAACTGGGAAAGCAAAAGAGTTCAAAAGAAGGGGAGAAGCAGATGACAATAGGAAGGTAAAAATAAAAGAAAAAGTAAAGAAAGAAAACTAACAAAAGAAAAACAGAAAAGAAATACCTACAGAGACTCCAACGAATGAAGGAAGGAATCGAATCTTCAACTTCTTTGAATTTTCTGGCCTACTACGATTTTAATCGTGTGTTTTTAATAAGAACACACGAAAAACATCGAAATGGACCCAAATCTTCAAACAGGATCGAACCTGAGACCTTTTGGGAATTAGGGTTCAGACCTTCAAATTAAGATTCGAAGAACTCAGGTCTGATTTGAGGGAACAGAAGTGGAGATTGGGGAAGAGGGGGTAATGGGGGCTCTATGGTGTTAATTTGGGGTTGAACAGAGGTAGCGCCGCCACCGGAGAACATCGTGGCGGCGCTAGGGTTTCGTGTTTTGATCTGATATTTGAGGAATCCTGGGTGGATTCGAGGGAAGATGGTTGGGGATTTGAAACGGAGGGGTTGAGGGGAGTTCGTGGTGTGATTTTGAGTGAGTTTGGTGGTGGCGCCGCCACCGGTGGCGGGAGAATTTTTGGGCGGCGACTAGGTTTATAGGGCGTCTTTGAGGGTATGAGAGAGATGAGAGACGAGGGGGTAGGGGGGAGCGTTTGGACAGTTATATACTTAAACGGACCCACTTCTCAGCCGTCCGATCTCCTTACCTCGACGGCTGAGATCAAATTCACACTTAAACGGGGTCGTTTGGACCGGGGTGGAAGACGGACTGGGTCGGGGGTGCTTGAGCCGGTTTCTGGACGGGTTTAAGGTGAAAAAAGGTTTGGGCTTGGGGAATATAAATCTGAAACGGCCCAAATCAGACTTCTTTTGTTTTCCTTTTCTACTCCTTTGTTTTTCTTTTCTCAATTAATTCTTTTCCCTTCCCTTTCCAAAATTAAATAAAAATCTACATTAAATCCTAGAATTTAATTACCCTAGAAACACCAATTAAACCTAAATAAAAATTATCATGATTAATTAAAACAATAAATTCAAAGAAAAATCGAAATTAACCTTAAAAAGGTGCAAATTAAACTATTTTTTGTGATTTTCCTTTTTATAGAACAACCTAATTAATTAATTAATCCTAAAATATTAAATTAAATCCTAGATGCAAATGCACATTTTTTGGTATTTTCTATGAATTAAATAAATCAAACATGCACACAAAAATGCAAACAAACACAAAAATCATGCAATAATTCCTAAAAATCAAATAATTAAAAGAAAAATCCTAATTTTGGGAATTTTGTAGGAGTAATTCATGCGAGGCAAAAATCACGTGCTCACAGCTGCCCCTCTTTGCTCGGAGACACGAAGGGTTTTCGGGCAAAGATAAAATGAGCAACTATGAGGGAGTTTTGCCTGCTTGACGCTCCATGAGAAGCATTTTTGAAAAGTGTCTGACCGAACCTTGCATCAGAGGTTGCCTACATATCCTTGGCTATAAAGGAATCAGGTCAGTGTAGTTCTGGAAGTTTTGGTAGCTGGGACTACCGGGAGCTGTGATTTCACAGTTGCTGCTGCTGCTGCTGCTTGCTGACCTCCTTATTACACCAAAAGGAAAATCAAAAGCTAAGCTAGCTATGCCTATCAACTACGAGTTACAAGACTCCTATCTATAAATCTCTTGAAGCTTGATCTTGAGTCTTAGCTGGTTCTTGCTGTGGACTCCGATCTGAATCTTGATGCTCGCAAGTTGCAGGTGCTGTTTCTTTCTTCAGCATTTGGATCAAAGCGGGACATGCGAAGCTTATGACTTCAATCAAATTTTGAGCAGTCCGCATCTTTGTCCGCTTCAGTACTTTGAATTCACTT